CGTAAGATTGGGGGCTGTAATGTGTGAAAAACCAAGGGGATACAGAGGCCATGTACGTTTTCTGGGGGTTCATGGAATCTAACGCGTCGATGTATTGCTGATCGGTGCCCGTCGCTCCGACGAGTGATGTGAGTGGATTGAGTGCAGAGGCCATACCCGGGAACAGTTCGCCAACAACCTTGGTTAACGATCCCGCGAATGAAGTTGTGACTTGAATGGGCCACGCAGAGTTCCACTATCAAAATGTTATGGCTAGGTCGGATAACGAGAGATAGAGTATTCTTACGTTGAACATCCCGTCTATCAAGCCATTGAAGCTCTGGAAAGTAGAAGGGTCCACGAAAAAGGATGGGATGAAGTAGACAGCGTTTGGCCCAGACAATTGTTGTATAAACTGCGTCGACCATCCTGATTGAACTGATGCTTGACCAAACTTGCAGGATTCGCCAGCGAAGGTTGAGGCGAGAACACGACCATTGTACATGAATTGGTTAGGATGTGAAGCATACGTCGTGATATAAGTCCGGAGCGTAGCAGCGTCATCAGCTGTGCTGCACGGGAGAGATCTATTGGACTGGTGAGGGAAAGTATCACGCTTAAGAAATGATGGACGCACGACATGTCAAAGGACATAAAGAGCTTGAAGCCTGTCCCGGACTGTTGTGCAGCCTCGAAGCTACCTCGGCTTAATCTAGGTGTACTTGGAAGTGATACAGACGAGACTCACGCATTTGCGACCTGCTGGGGCTGCCAGCTATCACTGCCCACATTCAAAGCAAACCCATCGAATCCACTTTGATGTGCAAGTAGAATATCCGACTTCCAATTGTCTACGGTGTACGGGTATGAGTTACCGACCATGAAATGAGCCACAACATATTTAGTGGTCGAGTTCCTTCTAGATAGTGACCGATGTTTCATTTGTTGTGGAACATGAGCTGGAGGTGGTGTTACAGAGCCAAAGTAACCGGATCCGTGTGCTAGGTTCATCGGCTTAATCGGGACAGAGGTACCGAGGCTCACGAAAAGTAGCCAGCACAATATTGTGAACGCGGAGAGCATGTCGAGGAACGAGCGACGAGGACGAAAGATCGAAGGGAGGCTCGGCGCAGCCGTGCAGTAGTATAAAAGACCAAAGGACTAGGAAAATAAAAACTGAAGACATTTTCGATGTCGTTTTAAGAGCGAACAAAGCGCCCTGTACCTATTGAAACCACCTATTGTCCTGGTCTATCACAATGCTTCCACGGAAGCATTGACATTATCTTTATTGTCAATCACGTGACAACCAATTATGGTAATTCTTAATTATCACTGACACTTGTAAGTTCTAAGTCAACTTCCAGGGGTTTCAACAGCAGACCATCAGCCCGCAGAAGTTCTATGCACCTAGGTACCCGCGGTTTATATAACCAAAAGGCCTCGAAAATGACGTTAAACAGACGAGTCTGTGCTACCCAATCAACTAGATATTGCCAATTCTTGTAGACCTGCACAAATCTAAACTCCCAGCAACTCATAGTCAAGCTTGCGACTCCCCTGCGGACTCCGTTTTCTCGTCCTGAGATCGCCCCGTTATCTCCATCCTCACACCAAAATCAGGACGCACCTACCGCAGCTTTCGATGGATGTTCGTCGCTAGTCGAGGGGGCATCTGGCTTAACGGGCTCGGAGGGAGCAGGCTCCAGTTCAGGCGCAGACGCGGCTTCCTCCGATGCACTATCAGGTTTTTCGTCTGTGGATAACCCCGACGGTGAATGTGAATCAGTGGATGGTGCCTTCTCAGCAGATGTTATCTCCGCCTTCGCTACAGCTTCTTCATGTGCTTGAGCATCTTTCGGGGAGTCGACTTCCTAGGTACAACTGAGAATCCCAAAGAGAGAAATAGAAACGGCATGACTCACAAAGCCCTTTTCTATCGATTCCTTGACCTCCGCTCCAGAAACCTCGGTACCTTCGTCGTCAGTCATTGACGGTGTCTCTTGTGCTGGCTGAGATTCTTCATGCTGCTACACGGGAAGAATAGAAATTATGCACGTCAGTCATCCCAAGCCCAACGCACACACAAACATGGCGTACGGAATGCTTCTCCTGTAAAGGGTAATGAGACCGAGGTGTCAGTGCTCCCAGTTGACTTTTCACATACATGGTGGCCTTCGTGTCCGTGTCCTGCGTGAGAGCTCTTGCGCGCGGACGGAGACACGAGATACAGGAACTGCAGAGATTGTCGGTTCCGAGAAAAAGCCAAGTGTTGTTCGTGTACTCACTAGTGGACCGAACACCAGCGCAGACCCGATCTATTGTCGGGAAAGGTGATTCATAAGTCATCTCTGGCACGCGTCCTGGTTGGGTAAACGCACCATCCATGGCGTATCACTCCCTTCGCTGCCATGGCCAGCATGAGACTCGGAACTCATCATGCGCCTGCCGAACGTTGCGCGCGGAGGAGTGCGTGGAGCTACCTTGGTTCGAACAGTGGAGCGCAAAAACGGGAGGAGACGTTGGGCGGGTCTGGACATCTAGAAGAAACTTTTTGAACGAGAAAAAATGGATAATAAAGATAGAATGGATGGTGTACTGGACTAGGAGCAAGTACTTTCGAGAGCAATAAATTTCGGTGACGTTGTCCTTGACGCCAGATGTGTGAACTTTCGCGGAGAAGACCGGAAAGCGAACATCCCCGCGTTGGTGACACTGACAGGCTACAGTCGCGGGATTATTCAACCAAACCTCGAAGACTTCAACGCCAACTTCCGAGTCGACTACCATGTGGCCCTTGTGCAATCCTGTCGAATACCGGTGAGGTGCACATAACTCGTTCGTGAGACCGTTCGTGACTCGATGTCTCGCATTACATTCCCGGGCCAAATGACACGGCGGCTGCAGCTTACCAAAAGGTAGCTCGGTACTTTGTCCTTGCTCCTTAAACCCTCCAAACATGTTACAGCTATACGGTGAACGTGGCGAGAACGTGGTTATAAATATTTTCTAGGCAACGTTGCGAGGTCCTCAGGGTTGGTCGACTGACAGAACAAAAGAAGAGGGCAAACGTGAAGAAATCTTCACGAGAACAATAAAAGGGACAACTGATATGCCAATCTCTATCTGGCCATCACTTTCAATTCATCATTTCAACTTCCGTATCACTCTCGTCGGGGGGATCTGGATTGCTGACGACCATAAACCTTCTTCTGGTGGTGCGCTGCAAGCCCGCGTCCTCGTTCTGATACTTCACCGAAATCGGGTTAGTACAGCAAACTACCGCCACAGCCGTGGTCCTACCTTTGGCGGCTCCTGCCATTGGTCCTGTATTTGCACCCCTCGCCAATGTGTTCCCCCTCCTAATCGTTCCTGGTTGATCCTTGTCATATAATCCCTTTCCTGTATCCCCCTCTCTGCTCGTGTCGACCATGATCTCGAGAATTCTGTGTATTGACCCTCGCCACGATATCGCCTGTTCGGCTGATCTTCCCATGGTTTGCGCTGCGTTACAAACTCCACCGCGAAAGCTATAAACTTTCGAAGGAATCCCTGATGAGATAGATAGAGGTGAGCTGCGCCTCGCCAAGAGCCCATCGAACGCTCACCAGTATTGACATTCTCCACTTCGTGGTTGCGCTGGCCACGAGGATGCCCCGGTGCTCATACATTGCAGGGTGATTTAAGTAGGGTGATACGCATGCATATAAACGAGCACAGCGATTACTACCCACCAGCATTCAGTTTCCACTGAACTACCCCTTGTGGTGATGCATTAATCTTGGGTTAATTTCCATGCGACACGGGTTGAGGTTCGCCGCCCTTGGATGTGATGCTTGGTCGTTTAGCCAGTAAACGGTACGGTATATAAGCACCGCTTGCGTACTATGGTTTCCTGCCTACACGCATTGGGCATATGGTGGTTAGGTCCAGGAAGAAGGCAGTTCTTTGAGGACCAACAACAGGTGTCCCTGACGATTTCGAACCCAGCAGTCCTTGACCACTTCCTGTAACTTTGGAGAACTGCCCCTCATTGGCAGGCACAAGTTTTTGCTCAGTTGACCTGCAATATCCACTCCAACAACCTGTCCTGCTCATGTGAGGGTCCACACAAGCGCATGCCCCGCATGTGCTCCTCAGTATGTACTCAGTGCCCTGCAGGGCGGAGAATATCCACTGGATCATTCGCCTACCTCATGTGTTTCACGGGGCCCAGGTGTCGACTGGTCGTTATACGTACGCGAATAGACGCGAATGCACGGTTACAACGTCTTCTGGCTCCACCAAGACACGCGGGTATATTAAAAGGGACTGCTCCGGGAAGGTAGCGTTCTTATTACCGCACGTTCTGTGCTTATTTAATTATCAGGTGGGCGAACGTCAAGCCCTTTCCACGTTGTATTTGACGTTTTCATATCCTTGGCATGCGGGTGTATGGGAGTGCGGTTCTGGTTCGTGGTCTTCTCTCCGCTGTTTCGCAACGCGGAGAACGACGATGGCGCTTCAAACTGCCCAAGATCCATTTATATGCTTTGGAGATCTCGGTGATTCCTGATATGGAGCACTATCCACAGCTTCGTGGTGTCTCTTGGGGCTTTCGACGCTGCAGATACATCGCGAGGTATTGATAAATGAAGGATTCTCGACGATGTGACGTCCGTTATCGTGGCTAACCTCGGCCAGCTCACCGTAATCAACTCGTGTGCACGGTTTTCCGAGTCGAGTTTGCCTAGGACGTCAAGTTACATTTAAGACAATACCTTCTCGGGTTGACGTTGAGAAGGCTGGGCTAGAATGCTGTTACCAGTTCCATCGCAGTGGAGAGTGCTGCGCTCACTGATAGTGGCAAAGAATTGATCACGCTGGAAATGAAGAGCAGGGTGTAGGCCTCCAGGATCAACCTACCACTATCCAAATAGAACAAAGTGTGACCTAAGGAGGGGACTAAGTGTATGACGATGGTCAGGGAAAGGCTAATGCACACCAGTAAACTTTAAGCTCTTCGAGAGGCTCTGAAGCAGGCCCGCCTAGCTCAATTGGTCAGAGCGTCAGACTTTTACGGCGGGCAGTGCTCTCGATTGTAATCTGAAGGCTGCGAGTTCGACCCTCGCGGTGGGCTAGTTGTTTTTTGTTAATTTTTCCCTCCGATATTTGTCAAATCTTTGCTGTCCAGGGCCACTGCATCATGGGAGGAGTACATTGGACGTATGTATTGCAGACATCGTAAGATAAATCTCGGGCCGATGGTGCAGGTGAGTAGTCTATACATGTCGATAGGTACAACAATCAACATGTCCGTGGTGTAGGAAGTAGGAAGCACATACAAACGAAGCAAAAAGAAAAAGAAGAACCTGAAATTACATGCATACACATGATAGGCATTGGCAAGCACACAAAACCATTTACGAAGTGCCGTATTTGTCTTGGTGAGGAGGGAAAAATGCTGCCACGTATTCTAAGAATTTGCTGTGGGTGAGTGCAGATGGATGATCACCATAGGGCATAGAGCAGATCAGTGGGGTGGAAGTGTTGGACGTTGAAGCGAAACGCTTGGCCATTCCACATATATCATGGACAGTCTAAGGAAATATCCTCAAGAACGACGAGTTGGTTTTTTCATCGATAAATAGGTGAATGACCTCTTTGTGAAGGTTCCCGAAAGGAGGCTTCTAGCCATGTCTGGCACGTTGCCATGCCGGTCCCAGCCGCACACCTCAAGTAGGTTTGTAGTATATCGTCGTGAGAAACTGCGATGTTTGTGAGTTATAGCGCATGATAAGGAAATTCGAAGCACAATTACCTTCTGGCGATAACGCGTTGTGTTCCCAACAGCGAGCACACCATTGCGTATTGCACTTGTACTCAGATGATGGAGCACTACGTGGGACGGAACAGGTAGTACGCTGGCGTCATCCGACAGCCCAGGGCCATCTAATCCGAGGCGGGTGTGAGCCTGAGATGGAGTCGCAAGGTGAGCTGTGGTTACATCCGTTCCGCTCGCTGTGGTGATAGGAATTGGCGGACGCTCGGCCTCCCCAGCTTTGTCATCTTTATAGAGATCCCGCGCAAGAGTGCTGGTCATACCAAGCAGTGATCGTCCCTGCTTTCGCCTGTGCTCCCTTTCGCGCTCCCTTTCGCGCTCTCGCTCGCGGCCCCTTATCGAAGGTGGGGGCTGCCCAACTTTAGTGTTCAAAATCAACTTGTCTAGGTGCCTAGGGAGAACTGGAGCTGGAGGGATATTTGGCGCAGGGACGTGTTGCTGGTGGCTGTTAGCGTAGCCAGATTGGTCGTACTCTGCGGCAGCGGTATAAGCAAGATAAGCCTCCTCTTCACGAGCAGCGGCTACAAGCCCAGCGGGAATTTCGTCTGTCCACTTGGACGATACTCCCAAGGGGTCAGAAGTAGAGGGAGTGTCGATCATGGAGCCATGAGTAGAAGTCGTGCTTGACCAGAAGGAATGTACTTGTACTTGTGCATGGACGGGCTGCTTTGCAGGTGTGGCGGGCTCGACTGTGGGCTGAGGTGGTGTCAAGCCAGAGATTGAGACTGCGACATAATTCGCCAAGGTGCCCTCGTCATCGACAGCTGTGGGGAGATCGTTGGCTAAACGCCACTGATCGTCGACGAGAAAGCGAATATGATGTGTCCCAGGCATGAGTGATACCCAAGTGGACCATGAAGTATCCTCTGGGGGGTTACTGCATTGTGAATCAGCAACACGAAGGAATCAATGCAACGTGTACATACTCTGATTCCATTGGCTGGCGGCCTTTCCAGTTGTCATCGCCCGCGCGGGCGAGGACAACGGATTTTCCTCCTCCATGCCAGGTGATTTTCACGTTCATACTTTCTTTTGGTTCATCAAAGGAAGGAGTGGGACGATTAGGGATAGGCTGGCCGTTTTCGTCTATGTCATCGGTGGTGGTAGCAGCAAATTCTTCCTCGGCCTTATGTAGTGCTAGGGGGATTGTTGAATGAACAGTCTCCTGGACGAACTCCTGTGGATCGGGCTCGATCTGGCTCTCAGCGAATAGCTCTTGCATGCGGGGCTGCGTGGCAGCCTGACCACGGGAAGCAAATGAATGTGTGGAGTTATATTGCAGGGGAGCACCTCGAAAGAATGGGTTACCTCGAGGGCGGTGATGATGATGATTGACCGGTATATGGGTGGACGGGGGCTGATCAAGTAAGAGTTCCGCAGAGTAGTTGGATGTATTGGTCTCTCGCGCAATATTCGGTTTTACATTGGGTTGTCTGCCACGAGGAGAAGTGCCGGTATTCGAGGCATTGTTCATTGTGCCATTGTTGGAGGTTGGAATCGGGATTGGGATTGGGGAAGTGGTTCTTGGTGGTCGGCGGTAAGAAGATAAGGGAGATGAATTTGCAGAGCCGTGATGAGAATTTGCAGGGGTCAAAGAGAGTAACGCAAGATCTGGCAGCTCGAGAGATTTTTTCTTGGTGCGTAGGGAATGGTGAGGGTGATTGGGGTTGGGAGACGGTGAATGAGACTGAGGACGTTTGCGACTGGGCGAATCGATTCGCCTAGTTGGGACTGGTGACGGGCGGCTGTGGTTCGTGTTAGATGTTGTGTTTCCCATCGCGCTGATCGTCACGCCCGTCCTCGAAGGCTCGTTTGTACCCTAGTTTTGCGTCGCCAGCAGTGAGCTCGATGGACGTAAAAGAAAATGGTCGATTGAATGCTTGTTGTACCTGATAGCATTAATAATGTTATTATTATATGTTAAAAATTATTTCCGTTAATGATCCGCCTTCGACATGATGCATCATTTCGTGGCGCAAGTTGCCTTCCTTTCTTTGCGGTCTACCACATCAACACACTATCCCGCACTTTAAGCGTGTTATCATGGCCGATATTAGTGTACCGAGCATCCTTACGGAAAACACATCTGGAGTTCCCCCAATCTCCAGCGATGTCGTCGAATCCAACTCCGGACTCCTTATTCCCGAGTCCAGAGACGGGTTCTACGGTTATAACGATGAAAAAAGCCTACAGCAAGTACGTTGCTAATCGGCTCCAATCAGGGCCAGACCGTGATTCTGCTTCTTGACTAGATGGAAGAGAAAAGATGGGCTCATCGGCGCACATCTGATGTCTCTGCCGTCCTCTCGGATAGTACCCCATCAGTTGGCGGGAGCTTTGGGCTTTCAGCAATTCGCGAGTCCTTACAGCCCCCAATGAATGAGGAGCAGACGAATACATCACCTTTCATCGAGGATGAAGATAAAGATAAAGTGCACACTGTTGAGCCACAACTACAATGTGCGGGTTTTCTGAGTCGTTTCGGACAGCGAGAGACAACTGAGGCTCACTCCAGTGCATGCTTCCATCACGCCCGAGATGATACGGACTTTCGAGCACTTCAAACGATGCCTCGGGCTACGCGACAAGTATATAGCGAGATCTCTTCAGAGACTCGGTGATAACCCTAGAGACCATGATGGTAACTTCAAAGGAATAGCCGAAGGATTCGCAGACGTCTCAGGTGTAAAGCCGAACGTCGACCTCACTAGCGCGCAAGCTCTGGAGAGCCTATACGAGCCTTGGAAGATCTACCCTAAGCCTCCCCCTCCGCACTGGCACTTTTCTCCCAAGAAAGATGTCTTCACTGCTGACGGCCACGTCACTCCGGGGGACGACGAGTTTGATTTTTCGACGTGTCAGATACCAGGGCCACAGTCATGGGAGTTTGAAATTGATAGTAAGGGAGTATACCAGGTGTATCTCACTGCTGCAGGTACGCGCAGCTTTGTCCTGCTCTCCATACGTCTGACAATATACCATAAGCCTCAGATAAACAGCCGCTCTTTGAGATTCCGTCTATCAGGGAATACTTCGTTGATCTCGACTACGTTCTCGAGGTCATATCGGACGGCCCCGCCAAAAGCATAGCGTACCGGAGACTGAAATACCTTGCAAGTAAATTCGAGATGTACACCCTGCTCAACGAATCCCAAGAGTTGGCGGCCATGAAAGTTCGCACCTTCCGTCAACTCCATAGTATTGAGCTCACGATACGATTTCTAGAGCGTGCCTCACAGGTCGGGGTTGAACCATGTCATATCTGGCGCCTCTGACACTTATATACAGGGATTTCTACAATCTCCGTAAAGTAGATACGCATGTGCATCTGGCTAGTTGCATGAACCAGAAACATTTGTTGCGATTCATCAAAGCAAAGATGAAACGCAGTTCACATGTGAGTTTCCTTATCTCACGCTGAACCTGCGCCAACCTCGCCCTTTAGGACATTGTCATTTTCCGGGATGGGGCTGAGTTAACCCTCGAGCAAGTTTTCCAGTCGCTGAAATTGAGCGCTTACGACCTATCTATCGATACGCTTGACATGCATGCTCACCAAGATTCGTTTCACCGGTTCGACAAATTCAACCTCAAATACAACCCAATCGGAGAATCGAGGCTTCGAGAGATATTCTTGAAGATCGATAACCTTATCGACGGACGATATTTTGCTGAACTCACCCGAGGTGCGCACTTCTCCCATGCATTGGGTTCGGATCGCAAATTTGCTTTGCAGAGGTCATAACAGATTTGGAACAGAGCAAGTACCAAGTAAGCATGGACGTGTGCATATCTGGATTGCAGTCCTTATATATTCCACTAGAATTGCGAATGGCGAGTCAGTATATACGGGAGGTCCGTGGATGAATGGGACAATGTTGCCAAATGGGTAATCAACAACAAGTTGTTCTCACACAATGTTCGCTGGCTGATTCAAGTGCCGCGATTGTACAATGTGTACAAAGAAAACGGTGTCGTCAATACTTTCGAGGATATCGTTATCAGTAGGTTCCCGCACCCCTTGTTCGGTGGCAACAAGTTTGAACACAACCCCCAGACGTATTCCGGCCATTGTTTGAGGTGACAAAAGACCCGACATCTCACCCCGATCTCCATGTTTTCCTACAGCGGGTTGTCGGCTTTGACAGCGTGGACGATGAGTCAAAGGCGGAACGTCGTATCCATCGCAAGTTCCCGTTCCCTCGCGACTGGGACACTGCACGGAACCCACCTTTTTCTTACTGGTAAGGCTGTCGTATTTACACTCTCCTGTGCGTCCTGAACACTGTTGCGCTACA